TCTCTGGCTAAGACCGTGCACACTGAGAAAATTAACCGTTTTGAGTTACCTGCTTTCTGGGATTTTTCCAACTGATTCTTGAATATCTAACTGATTAGATCACCACACAATTTCTGCAAAGCTGACATGATACAAGCTTTCACTACCCACCTCTTTACTAACTTGGGTGCCCTGACGCGTAATCTAGCGCTGTACAATGGTCGTAGACTAGTCCAAGGGTTGTAGACTTCAAAAATGAGTTGCTGGCTAAAGTGAAAAAAGTACAAGACAGATTTTCAATCATACCCTTCCTGATTTTATTACAAACTTCCACATAAATTTTGGCGCTATTTAAGTCAATAAAAAAAAAGCCACACAATAAATAAATATTAATGACAAAACTACAGAAGACCTCTAGGAAATTATAGAACATATGAATGATTACTTCAGTAGTGTGTTTTCTGAACTGGACTGTTATGAACAATGCAATGCAAGACTTGTAGTGCACGAGGTTACGATTTCTCGAGAAGGTGTTTTGGACATGCTTTTTTATCTTGACGTACGCAAATCTGCAGGTCCTGTTGGGATACCGAATGTTTTTTTACTGCGGTACGTGGAACAGATTTGTGTCTTCTGAACAGAATTTCTCAAATTATGCTTATGCTTAGAGGATTATCCATCCGACTGGCGTCAAGCCAGAGTTGTCCCAATTTATAAAAAGGGAGACTACCTTGCGGTTTCCAATTATCGAACAGTTTCTATTACAAATGCTTGTAGCGAATTATTAGAAAACATTGTAGCAGGTTTTATTCCTCAGTATTTGAATGATCACAAGGTCCTCTCTCCAGAACAGCATGGATTTGGAAGCAGGTTATCGACCACAACTCAGCTTGTGTCAGTTGTTCATGGTGTCTCTGAGGTACTTGACTTGGGCGGACAAGTTGACATGCTTTTTTTTGGATTTCAGTTAAGCCTTCGAAAGGGTACCTCACAAAAAATTATTCTACATGCTCGAGTGCAGTGGTCTCCTTCAAACAATATGTCATGGATCCAGGCAAACCTACAGCACAGGCAGCAGTTCGTAGAATTAAGCAATGCTCGTCCGTCGCACATCACGTAACCTCGGCCATGCCTCAAGGCAGTGTACTGGGATCACTCTTATTCTTGATCTATATAAATAATATCTCGAAAAAAATCTCTAGTGACGTGCATGTAAACCTATTTGTGGATGACTGTGTCATATTCAAAGAAGTAACATCGCAGAATGATCCCCAAAGCTTACAGCAGTCGGTCACAGCTATTTCAGAGTGGTATAGGCTTTGAAGAATGGAAATAGATGTACAAAGAACAATTTTGCTGAGAGTAACATGAAAAAGAGAACCTAACATATTCTCTTACATTCCTAACAACACCATAATAGCGGAAGTTGACCAGTACAAATACTTAGGAATCACGTTTAATAACAGACTTACTTGGTCAGATAATATATTTCTTAATTGCTCTGAAGCCTTGCGCAAATTGTGGCTTATCCAAAGAAAGCTTAGAAAAGCACTGGCAAATCCAAAACTCTTAGCATGTAACACAATTGTGTGTTCAAAACTTGAATATGTGGCTATTGTATGGGATCCTCACACCAAAAAGACATTATGAATTCGGAGCGTTTGTAAAGGAAGACTATTAGATGGGTTTTTAGAATATACAAAAGAGAACATTTCCCTGTCACTTGTAATGCTTTCAGATAGAATAAGTTCACTGGACAATTGCCGTAAACTTTGTCGCCTACAGTTCCTACACAACATTATAAAAGGGAAAGTTGACCATCAGTTGCCTCGTTTTTTAGTACCCCTAAATATCTGGTCTACTAGACACAGACACAGCTTTACTCTTACGCCAATATTTGTCAAAACCAAATATCACACGACAAGGTATTTTCTGTGCACCATGACAGAATGGAACTCCATACCTATTCACATCATGCAATCGAGGAACTTTACAAAAGAATTAGAATATCATTTCTTTTAAAATTGAGTATAAATATGAGTAATGTTTAAACTTTTCTTGCCATTTGGTCATGAATTCTATGCTGTGTGCAGTGCCCTACTATTGTCTTAAGAGTTTTTTCGTAGTTTATCACCTGTGTAAATTGTTATGTGAAGCAAGCGTCTTGCACTGTTTTTTTTTTTCTTGCATGGTTAGTCTTTTATGAACGCTTTGCCATTGTATTATTGTTTTTGCCCCTCCTGTGTGGGCAGCATGTTGTCCTGCAGTGTCGATAAATAAATAGGAAGTGCTCCTAAAATAATTGGCTCCGTGAGATTCGCAACGAATCAATTTTTCTAGCTCTTCACAAGGGCCCCAAAATTCATGTCCTTTAATGTAAATGTGACTTGCTTCCACTCCAGGATACGAAGTTAGCTGCTCCAGATTGCTTCGAATTGTTGCGAAAATGTTGCGGCTTCAAAATGCTCCGAAATGGAACATTTTGCTGCTCCAAAGTGCTCCAAAATGAAAGTTTTTCTGCTGCGAGAATTGCTCCAAATCAGTAGACCTCAGTAGCATCACAGATGTCATGCCTAGCATTCCAAGAAGGACCCATCTAAGTACCACAATAATCAGGACGATCTACTCTGATTGCAACCCTCAAGGGCCATCTGCCCTGAGCAAGACGTCGAACTAACTATCCCAACAACTTACCATATTGAGGGTATGATGATATACTAAATTCTCTGACCCAACCAACAGAAAATTCTAGATTTCACGTGCTCCACAGCCAGAACCCTGAGGAACTTGTTAGAATCATTTTACTATTCATAGTTGCAAAATCTTTTACTGAAGCTTTCGGGCCAGGCTACAAGGTAACCAAAACGGCTAGTGGTGATCTTCTTCTCGAGGTAGCAGTCGAACAATAATAATAACTCAACTGTCGGGAAATACTGGGAAGCATACCAGTATCAGTCTCAACACATATGTCCACGAACAGCTCACACGAAGTCGTTTCTGAAGATCTCATTGACTTGTCTGAAACTGAACTGCTTGTGGGATGGAAAAACCAGAATGTAACTGATGGGAAATAGATCATTATTAGAAGCGAAAACAAAGAAATCCCAACTAAAAACACTTCATTCTTACATTACCATCCAGTGTTGTGACTCTTGGTGCGATGTGCGAGGTGGTCTAATCGAACAGTTTGTTTTTTCTTCAGGCCCATGTCTTTTGAACTGGAAAGTCCGAACATATTACAACGTTGCAAATAGAACATTCTCCACCATAGATCTCAGCATTGTATATTCGTCACTTCCTCTCCTCAACTTCTTCTCCAACTTAGACTAATACTTTCTTTTTAAATTGTTAGAAAGCTTTGAAGAATGTTCTTAATGATCGTCTACTACTAAAACTTGATAGGTTACATCTAAATCCTGACATTTTACCCTGGATGAAAGAACTCTTAAGTAATCATTTTCAATCAGCTTTTGTCAATAATCATAATATGTATCACGTAATAACAGCACAGCTAAAACTCACAACAAAGAAATGGAAAACGCGCTAAATAGTTATTTCTGCTTTGTGTTCACTCACGACGACGGCAATCGTCCACATTTTTCGACCTTTGAACAAACAACCCCCCTGGATGACACCACTATCAGTGTGGATGGAATTTTATCACTCTTGCTTAACCTGGATGTTAAAAAATCTTCAGAAATAGGTGGGATCTCAAACTCATTTCTACACATATATGCTGAGTGGTGCGCAAAATTTTTGTCTGATATTTTAGAAACCCTTGTCAGACGCAGAAATTCCAAGAGACTGGAAATGTGCCAGAATAACCCCGATACCCAAAAAGGGTGACCCATCATCTGTTGCATCCTATAGGCCAATTCCCTTTCTCTGCACTTGTGTGAAAGTATTCGAACAATTCCTCTGTTCGAAGATTGTCAAGTAACGGCAAGAGCATAATATGGGGACAAGAAGGCACGCAAAATGTATGAGGCTTCTTTGATTCGCAAGGCAGAAACAGAGTGTGAGTGCTACATCTGTCAACTTGTTAGACAATGAATACCAGTATCATTTGAGTTGATGGGTCATTTGAGCATGTGAATAGGCTTTTTTGCACATGCACAGTTGCTTTCTCTTTTCCTTTGTTGCCTCATCTCCATCTCCTCGCCCATTCGGCCACACACACACGCACGCGCACACACACACGCGCGCACACACACACACACACACACACACACACACACACACACACACACACACACACACGCACGCGTGCACACACACACACGCACACGCATGCACACACAGATATATATATATATATATATATATATATATATATATATATATATATACATACACACACACAATCAGTGTATATATACATATATATATATACTGGTTGTAAGTGCTATGTCCTATCTAATGTTTTTTTATGAAATGTTTCACACACAAAAAGGGTTTTCCTGTGGGATGCAAAACCAACCAGCCCAAGCAGCTACATCATTTCTCTTAAGCCATTCACAACAGCAACCCTCGTAACACTGTGTACTGTTCTCACAAATAAAATCCCAAAATTCAACTGGAAACATTCATCATTGCATCGTGGGACCCAAGACTGCAAACTGGGCACATTGGTTTTATTGGTCAGTAGCTTACTAACAATGTTACCTACTGTATGATGCCTGCCCCACCATGGTGGTCTAGTGGCTAAGGTGCTCGGCTGCTGACCCGCAGGTTGCGGGTTCAAATCTCGGCTCTGGCGGCTGCATTTTAATGGAGGCGGAAATGTTGTAGGCCCGTGTGCTCAGATTTGGGTGTACGTTCAAGAACCCCAGGTGGTCGAAATTTCCGGAGCCCTCCACTACGGCCTCTCATAATCATATGGTGGTCTTGGGACGTTAAAACCCACAAATCAATCAAATCAATCAATTACTGTATGATGCCTGTAGCTAACTGCAAAATTGTTATTTCTTATTGTATGCAATTATATGCAAAAACCAAGCTTTGACCATTTTTTTGTGCAGGCAATGTTCCTTCACTCTGACTCGCCTGCTACTGCTGCGACCACTGGGCGGCGAGGTTTCTGCAATCAGCATCGCCGTCAAGATGCAGGTAGAACCACATTCTCTGGGCATGTCCGTCTTTGTACCCTGTGTCCCTTCACTACCATTAACCCTCTGCTACCACTGACAAACGTAATCGTGAAGTTTTGTAACCAAATTATCAATAACACTTATAATCATCACACAAAAGGTCATTTGACAAAGAACCACTGAAGGCTGTTAGCCTTAAGGGCAACCACTAGAGGGGCCGGCACTGGTGTCTCTTTGATGTAGTGAACATCACGCGACTCGCCTATGCCATTGTTGATTCAGTGTGCTTACTTTCTACCCCAAAACAGTTGATTTTTTTGTCTACCGATTTGTTGACGCTTGAAGCAGCAGTGCTAGACACATTCATGCGAGCCTAATGCAAATTTGGCCCTTGCAAAACCTCATGCCAATGATATACTTGACTAATAAAACTGAAATTAGTGAAACAACCCGGCGTTCATCCTCGGATATGCAGCTCACTCAGTGGCTACCTTTCTTTTTTTCGTTTTGAGCATCCGTGCATCTGTAAAGATTTAACGTCTGTAATTAGAGTTAAAATGTTCAGTGAGTATGATGTGGGAATTTCCGGGAATATACACATAAAAATTTGCTATGTTTATTTCACTCAAGGCGGAAATGCTTTTCCATTTGTCTGTAGAACAAGAGCTACAAGGGTGATTTCGTTTTGATGCTGTTATTTTGCATTGCATATTTGGGTGTCTCTTTGAATTAAAAAGTGAACTTCCCGCCAAAATCACAACCACACGGAAGAAAGCAAGCACATAGGTGGGATGGGCGCTCACTTACAATTATTTGTTTCTTGAGGAAAGAAGCTATTATGTCCAACTTTAATTTATGCATGTACCAACTAGCCCAACAGCGAGTTCTACTAAACAGATGTGTCTGCTCTTGTAAGCGGGCATGATGTGCTGAGCACTGGTACACGATTTCGTTGATGCTGGAGACCAGCAGAGCCACTTAAAACGAGATACGGTAATTGTTATCGAGCGAGCGATGCATACAACTATTGCAATGTTCTCGCATGATAGCAGCACAGCTCTCTGTGCGGAGAAGCTTGTGTAATGAAAGTGAGGATTAAGGAGACAAACATATATGTGGGGGAAGTTCTATTTATCGAAATATAATTGTTACAAATAATTGCCTGGTAATAATTCTGGAGAAAATAGCAGGCCATTGCTACAAACCACGGTGGTTGTGAATAGTAATGTTATTGCAGTAAAAGAGCTCATGGGTACCTTTATGAAAAGTCATGCGAACTTCACTTCTTAACTACTCATTAAAAGAAAAAATTCCCGGTCAAGACGTGGCTTTTTTTAATGCTCATTTGGAAGCTAATTGTATGAAGAAGTGACTGGTCGATGTTGAAAGAATATTTTAACCACATACTCAAATTAATGAAATAACGTTTATTTCTGATGGATACATAAAAAACCACCTGTCTGCTGCTAATAAAGTTTGAAACCTTATAAACAAAATAGTTACAGATGCCGCATCTTTCTTCACTTGCGTGGGCTAAGCACCATTGGGATATTTCATTGGGAAAGCTTAGGTGCTGTGTTTAAAACTGCAAAATAACGTAAAGTGGCTTTACTAGTGTGCACTCACAATGTTCGCGTCTAAGCAGTCTTGGTCATCTCCAGAAGAGCTACTCTATTCACTGTCATCGTTGTCTTGATTTCCGGACACAAGTTAAATAACTGTACTCGAATCATCATCACTCGAAGTAGATGAGGAATATGGCTTCTTTTTCATGTTCATGGGCCAGCTGTGCATGGGTCGCCGCCACCGCATGCTGTCTTTCCATGCAAACATTGTGCTCCTGCCGCAAGAGAAAACTAACATAGTAAATTCTTGAGCAAATGGTGCCATCTAGTGGATGAAAAGCAATGCAAGCCATAAATGCGTGCTTCTACACTTGGAACGCTAGAGAGGAGTACTTATTCCACTTGGAGGTGTTCTGCTCGTCTAAAGCAGTTAAGTGACAATGCTTGCAAAACAAGAAAAGTCGTGGCTGAACAGTCTCAATCACTGGAGTTGTCGAACACTTCGGGCAGTCAGTACCGCGTGACGTCGTTTCCTTCGTCAGATTCTGGCAGACGACACCACGGTATGTTCTCGCTGCCAATACTAGTTTCTGTGTACTGCACGAGGGGAACAAACACGAGGGGAACAACTAAGGGACCTGGGAGGTTCCTTCAACTGGTTTATTATGACTGCCGCGCAAGAGGCGGCAGCCAGCACTGCATGCTGCATTCAATATAGCTACTCCACTCTCGGGCAGGTGGTCGCTACAGTGACACCACCTGGCAGTACAAAATTCCTTCCCCCCAACTTAGTACTTTAGAGGAAGCCATGTAAGTAATCTGGTCGCCTGACATGGCTAGAGGAACTGTGAGAGCCCGTTTGATCAGTGTCAATGCGAGAGTCTTTCGGCTTGGCCCAGTTGCTGGTTTGTGGCCTGCTCAGCATGCTGGAAGTCCACATGGCGGCACTCCATCTGATCCACATGTCATCTCAGTTCCCAGCCATCTGGTGTGTGAACCCGGTATGACATTGACCCAGTGTTGTACACATTCATCTAAAGCAGGAACAAAAAGCGCATTCCACATTCTTGCCCAGTTTCGAAACGAGTTTCTATTACAAGATGCTAAAGGAATTCGTTATATTTTAAAAATTTAAACGTATCTTTACATTAATGTTACGTATTACTTTTTGATCGAAACATAGTGCTGGATGATCTCGAGTCCAAAGAAAGCGAGAAATGTAATGTTCATTAAGCTCTACGTATATTTTACTAATTTAACATCTGCAGTGGCAGATTATATGTAGATAGAAGTGAAAAGAAATGATCCCAGACAAATTTTTTAGAGGTTCCCGGGCATAATACAAATGCCTAACATCAACTTTAGTGCTCGTCTATTTCAAGTGCAACATATATGACCCTTTCTACATCAGCCTTCAATTGCGTAGCCAGTATACTGCGTTTCAGATATTAACACAATAGCATTTAAAAGGTTGTATCTCAGAAATTCTTGTGTCGACATTGGCATTGTTGGTTGTGAGCGAGAAAAGTAAAGTTTTTCATAAGTGAAAATTTGAGATAAATACAAATAAATAAAATTTACAAAGAAATTCGAGTGCAAATTGAATCGAAGGCTTTCACGTACCAAGCAGCTGGTGGTCAGCAGGCAGGTAACTGCTTGAAACTCCTTCGGAAAAAAAAAATATGAATATTGCCTTGTGACGTCTGCTGTTGGTCACTACAGACGTGCTATCAATTGTTGCATCTGTTCTTTTCATTGCATGCATAGACCTGTGCTCTCTGTGTTTCGTCATGCTACTGTCTGTTTCTTTGTGTCACTTTTTGTGTGATGTGTCTATAGTAAGGGTCACATTTTATGTTTTGTTTAAGTAGAGTGCGCAGCACGAAGCGGCGGCATTCCTGTTACACTTACCAACCGCAACACTTGTCAACGTTACCACCGGGGATTTCGGGCACCTGTCCGACAAAATGAAGTGGCTGCCTTCCGGAACGTCTTCTGGTTTCTGGTGCGCTAGTCCCAAGACTACGACACATCTGGTGGACGTGCTGCCGTCCCATGCCCAAGTCGCACCTTAGAAGCCGGAGCACCAGTCCCCTTCGTGCACCTGCAGTCGACATTGCCATCAGCCAGTGCGAGCAAGCCGACGATTGCAAAATTTGCCTCCGGAGTTCGGTCCCTTTTCTACCGAGATGGCAACGAAGAAGACAGAACCTAGCATGACTAGCCCAGCTGCGACATTGATAGTCCTACAGCAGCCAAGAGAGCCGCCAAAGTTTCACGATGCCCAGGAATGGCTAAACTATTTCAAAAGTGTAGCTAGCTTCAACAAGTGGGACTAGGACAAAAAGCTTCGGCACAGCTTTTTTGCATTGGAAGACTCCGCCAGGATGTAGTTTGAAAACCGCAAAGCATCGCTGTCTTTTTGTCAGCTATTCAAAGAGATTCTACTGGAATTGTTTTCCTGTGTAAACGGTAAGGAGCGCGCCGAGTTGCTATTTCAAACGCGCACGCAATAGTCTGGCGAATCTGTTTTAATGTATGGGGAAGAAATGCATCGGCTTTTTAAACGAGCAGACCCGATAATGTGTGAAGACAAGAAGGTGCGTTTCTTCATGATGGGCATAAAAAAAGGTCTTTTTGCTGGCCTTTCATGGAACACTCCCTTTACAGTTGAAGACTTCATAAAGGAAGACTATGGTGCCCGAGGTAAGATTGCACACTGCGATAACCTCAGAGACCTAATAAGAGTCGTCGTCCGGGAGGAACTCTGTATGTTGTTTCCTACTTCGCAACCACAGCTGTCGTCTCTCAGTAGTGTAATAAGAGAAGTTCAGCATGCGCTTAGCACTAATGAACAATGCGAAGTCATAGGAGAACCACAACTGATGACATATTGTTACTGCATATGTGATTTTGGTATGAGCCTCTGGGTAGCGGGGAACAGGCAGATTAGAGAAGAGGACGTTCGGCTAGCAAGATAGGCCTCCGGTGCACGACCGCTTCAAGCCTCCCAGTACGCCACAGCGTAATAAACCCATTTATAAACGTAACAGAGTGGTGGAGGTGCTGGGTAAAGCACGTCGACGAACCACGGAGTCACAGTTGTCTGAACTTCGCCGGAGCCGACGTCTTGCCGGTCTGCCACCAACAACAACTGTCATGGCCGAGAGCGAAGGTCACGGCTTCTCAACCACGCAAAGGTCAGTGCCGGCTGCACCTCGGTATCGCTATATGGAACCCCGCCCGTTCGCGGAAAGAGCAGGGGAAGATGTAGATGCGTGGCTGACACACTACAAAAGGGTGAGCCGGTACAACGGCTGTGATTCCACCGAACAACTGGGGACTGTCGCGCTGTTTCTCACGGAAACCGCCTTGATGTGGTACGAAAACCACGAAGATTCATTAACAACGTGGGATCGTTTCGCCGAAAAACTCAAAAAATGCTTCGGCGACT